CTAATGACTCTGCACATTTATTGTTAATTCCAGTTTGTGATTGTCCCCTCTCTGTCTCTTTCTTATAATTTTTATTTCCAATTGTTTCTTTTCATTTTGCAACCTTTTTTCCCTGATGATAGCCAAGTGTTCTTTCCTTTTTAGTTTATATTATATGCTTTAACATTATTTCATCTCTTGACTCAATTTTTTTATATTACCAACAAGATCTTCGTCGATCGAGCCGATTAGATCGAATTCGCTATGAACCTAATGGACCATGTTTACGATAAGATCTATACTTGGTGAGTTTTCAATGTTTTTAATCTCAGTTGCCATTTTTTCATTCTTGCTGGGTTTATCATTATTATTTTTTTTGCGTGACATGTTCTTCTTCCTTATCCTTCGGTATGTTCAATATGTGTGTTTTATTGCAATTTTTCGGTTTTTTTTAGGTGTCGTGTTTTTTAAAGGTTATTATGTTTTGCTTTTAGAATTTTTGTCCAAATTTTCGTAATGAAACTCTGTTTGTTTTCTGCTTTCAGATAATTTGTGAATAAATTTATGCTTGTTTGTTTTGTAAACGTGAAGTGGCTATTATATTAATATATGGACAACTAATGGGGTGCAACTCTCCCATTTTTCCCATATGACACACGCAACATTTCCCCTCTTTCTTCAACATTTCCAAACTCTTTCTTCTTCCTACAATAATTTTCGTTCCTACAGGCTAGATTCATTAGATATAAAAAGCACGGCTGCACATTTTTTATAAATGGGAGATGGCCATATCACGGACACGTAGGAGTCGAAGAACCTCTTTTCATAGCTTAAGCTTTCATACACTACATTAATTTCTTTAAATATAGAATTCAACATCTTTTTCAAGAATGCTCTTGTTTCTTATATTCATGGAAATTTGGCTTCATGAATTGCTGAAAGTAAGAAATGAATACATGGAGAAAGATAAATTTGAAGCTTCCCTTATAGTCAATTGAATTTCTGTTACTATTGGATAGGGGTTGTCCAAAGGTGTAACATCCAGCGTGTATCAAGCGAGATGAGAAATTTTTTAGTTCAACTGCCATCTGGAATTGTGGTATGTTTCTTTTTTATCGTGTTTGAATTCATTGAAGTCTGGTGATTCTGCTGTTTTTGGTTTTTGTATTAATTTTTAATTTGTTTCTTCTTTTTGTTATTTGTGGCAAAAGTTTCTGGTTAAATCTCTGTGACCTTTGGATATATCTTTTTTCTTTGTCATCTAAGTTTCATCATTGAGTTTTTTCTTATTAATTTTTGGTTTTGCCTGTACCAAGTGAATCCCTTCCTGAGAGAACAGGAGAGCCTGACTGTCACTGTAAGTGTGTATTGAAAAATTTCTGTTCTTTTACATTACATGGTGGTCTGTATTAACACATTTCTTTTTGTGCGTTAAATATGCTCCAGTATTTTCTGAAGACTCAAAGATGCAAGTTTGGTATAAGGTGCAAATTCAACCACCCAAAAGATAAAGTAGTCCCCCAGGTAGATTTCTTTGCCCAGGTTTAATTCCACTCCTTTTAATGTGACGAGTCTTATGACAATTCCAATTTGTTGCTTCTATTTTCGCTTCAGTGTGCTCCAGATAATGCTGATGCCTCCGTCTTACCTGAGAGGCCCTCAGAGCTTCCATGCGCGGTATGATATTAGATTTTTCTCATGAAAGCGTTACGTTATATAACTGATTATTAAACTTCATTTGATTGAATGCAGCTGTATCTGGAACAAGAATGGAAGTGGCACTGAAACTAATTTCCATTTCTTTTCTCTAAAGTTATGCTTTTGTTTCTTGATCAAAGCACATAACTATAATTAGTTAATGAATTTGTTTAACAATTGATTTTTGAGGATGCTTCTACCAGACACACAAGCACACATTTGAAAGGAAAACAATTGTAACTTTTTTTATATGAGTTTCAGTTGTATCAAGATTAGTTATCATATTTTATGGCTAACAAGAAAGTCCTGTTAATCTGCCCACTAGATATATGTTAAGCAGAACAAATAGATAATTCACTCTGAGCGGTGATTTGTACTATCTTTTAAATGTAATCCATTATCTTGCTTTTGTAAAATTCTCTTTTTCTTCATCTTCTTTCATTCTCTCTCCCGGTTTCGTTTGAAATTAATGTGTTCTCCCTGTTCCATCCCCTACAAAAAAATTAAAAATAGAAGGAAAAGATTACCAAACCTCACGGGGAAAGGAAGTCAAAAGTGAAAAACATGTGCAGGGGGGTGGCGGCAAGAGCATGGTTGCTTGAAGTAAGACAAATATGTAATAGATGAAGCATTAAAGGGAGGAATAGAACCAAATCGGGAGCCAAGACCACTGTAAGAAGAGTGAAATCCAGACAGATGTAATAAGTTACTTCCTGAGTATATAGGTTATTTGGTCAATCTAATCATGAGAAAGAATAACAACGCTCAAATTATTGATCATCATCTATTTTCTATGCAACCTGTCATCTTGACTTTGTAGCTGCTAGCTCGCATGGCATACATTTTGTGTCCTTTTTTCAGGAGGTTTTTGTCTTGGATAGCAGTTGTTTATAAACATGTAACACGAATGTCAATGATACATCATTTGTAGATTTCTGATTTTAGTGATATCGAGTTATGTGAAAATGAATTTTTAAGAATTATGAAGCTGAACAGGGCTCAAGGGTAGAGAAGTTAGCCTGGAATTTCAATGGTCTGCCTCACAGAATCTTCAGGCAAATATATGTTTTGCACAACATGAAAGTAGATAGTGTAAAAGATTTTGATTTTCTCTCAGTATCTGAGCATGCATCCCCCACTCTGTGTGTTGTGCTTTTGTCCCCCATTGATGGTATACTATCTTTTATTATTGAAAACTAACTTTAAATCAAAACTAATTTTAATTACCTCTGTATTTGAAGAATAACTAAATAGTATGCAGATGAATTTTATCCATCTTGTCATCAAAATTAGAACTTCATTCTCAATTTTGCGTTAAACTTTTTGCATATGCATAAAAATCTGCAAACAGTATGTATGCTATTCTATTTCTCTAAACACGAAAGGATATAAGCAACTGAGAGATGACCTTCTTTTGTTCTTGAGGTCCAGTGATTTTCTAGATTTTTCTTTTGAGAAAAATATATTTTGTAAATGTTTCTTCATTAATTGGTTACTGGAAAGAATTGCTGGATTCTAAAGCAACTTATACTGAGATGCAATTATATTGTACCAGAATCCATATATCTAATTAAATTGTGCGCTCATAGTTAGTTTTTTTTTTTATTTACAATTTATCTATATTTGATAATTATCTGAGCATACAAGAATAAACAAAACTACTAATTTGTACACCAATGAGTTTCTTGAACGCTCCATCGGTATTATGAAGTTACTTATATGCTTGATAAAATTTAATAGACTGGCCAATTTAGACTAAAATATATATGTGAAAGTTCGGTTTCTCAATGCTCTAAAATTTTTAGAAAACTGGAATATCTCTTCTTCACTGCTTTTTTGTATGTTTTAGTCTGTTGACATCTTTTGAGAAATTCTGTTTCTGAGTTTGGTGTTTTATCCATTGTGAAAATCCAGAACTTACAACTTTTTATCGATCATCTTGTTGTCTATGAGCGTGAAGATCGTCTGTCAAAAATAAACATATATCATCTTCCAGCTATTGGAGAGCCAGTTGAAAGACTTGAAGGTGGCCGGGCTCTTGATTTTGTGGACCTGTATACTCATTGGATATGTCGAAGTCAGAATTTTCTTCCAGCATTTTAAGGTTTCATTATAGCTCAATGAGGACACCTCCTTCTGCTTATGATTATGATATGAACTCTGGGGTTTCAGTTCTCAAGAAGACTAAAATGGTGAGTTAATGCTTGTAATAATTATAAAGAGCTGTTTAAGATGGAATTGCTCAGATGTCTATGCTTGGAGTCATTACATTTGGTTTCATTCATGGTCACTTTCTTTTATTTACTTGTTATTTTGTTCAAAGTTTTGGATCTTCTAGCTCATAAGTCTTTGCAATTTTCTTGTGTTGTGTAAATGAGCAAAGGCAATGCTTTGAAAATCAGCCTGAATACTGAA